GCTGTGTCCACACTGTCTCTCACTGCTGTCAGTTTGGGCCCTCGATCCCATCTCTGCCTCCGGTTCTTTAGGACAGAACTGTGGAATCTCAGGATGGGTTGGGTTGGAAGGGACCTTAAAGCCCAGCCAGTTCCAGCTCCCAGGATTTGAGGCATCACCAGCACACCCCCTGCCCCCAGACCACCCAGACACAGGGCAGGGTGGGTTCCCTGCTCCAACACCTCCCCACCTGGGAGAACCAGGGGGATGTGAGGGGTGAGCTGGGCCAGCACCTCCTTCAGCAAAGCAATGGAAGGGTCAGAGAAGATCTGTCCCAAAAGCACAGAGGGGCTGCAGAGAACAGGACTGGGCCTCACATGGATTGGGGATTCCATGGATCCTGCTAAACTGAGGGAATTAAAGCTACACAGGAATCATCAACACACAAGGGCTGGGCTGGGGAAACACGTGGTTGTGTAGTGGGATTGGAGGGGGGGAAACCGTGGAGGTTCTCACACGTGGGGTGTGAGTCACACATCACACACTGCAGGGAGGGAGGGAGGGAGGGAGAGGGCTTACCAAACACAGCCCAAAAACACACTGAGAAGTTCTGCTGCCCCACCCCTGCCACTGGGACACCGCTCCAGGCACCCCGTGGGCACAGCACTGTCCCTGTGCTGGGAGCTGGGGAGGCCCCCCTGGAATCCTGGGGGCAGTTCTGGGATCCCTTGGACAGGAGAGCCATGGAGGGGCTGGAGCGTGTGCAGGGCAGGGAAGGGAGCTGGGAAGGGTGTGGAGAACTCCTGAGGGAGCTGGGGGGGCTCATCCTGGAGAAAAGGAGGCTCAGGGGGGACCTTCTGGCTCTGCAAGTCCCTGCCAGGAGGGGGGAGCCGGGGGGGGTCGGGCTCTGCTCCCAGGGAACAGGGACAGGACAAGGGGAAACGGCCTCAAGCTGTGCCAGGGGAGGCTCAGGTTGGCCCTGAGGAGGAATTTGTTGCTGGAAAGGGTGGTGAGGCCTTGGCAGGGGCTGCCCAGGGAGGTTTGGAGTGCCCAGCCCTGGAGGTGTCCCAGGCAGGCCTGGCCGTGGCACTCAGTGCTCTGGGCTGGGGGACAAGGTGGGGATGGGGCACAGGGTGGATCCATGGGCTGGGAGGGCTTTTCCAACTGCAGGGATCCTGTGAAAGAGTGGGATAGCAGAGTAAATGTGCTGTAACAACCACAGGAAGAAATGTTTGGGTCAGATGTTAGAAAACTTCCTAATGGTGAGGACAGAGAGAGGCAGGAGCAAGGAAAACACCAGGGAATGTCCATCACCGAGGCTTCCCAAGGACAGGATGTGATGTCTGTGCATCAGACCCTTCTGATCCTCCCAGGGATCACCAAGCAACTGGGGAGTTCAGAGCCGATTATGTCAACAACACCCACCCTGGGGTCCCTCCCAGGAGCAGGTTCTGGCACAAAGGATCAGGAGCACCCGAGGTGTTTGGTGACACACCCTGCGAGGCTCATCCAAGGACTTCAAGGCCAGGTTGGACAGGGCTTGGAACAACCTCATCTAGTGGAAGCTGTCCCTGCCCATGGCAGAGGGTGGAACTGGATGGGCTTTAAGGTCCATTCCAAACCAAACCATTCCACCACTCTATGGATTAACCTCCAGCATCGCCCAAGTCTTTTCCTCCCAAGGTCTTGCAGCACAAGGTGCTTCCGCACATCCTTTCTGGAAAAAAACGACACCCTGATGCTAAACCAGCTTTCATTTACATTCTCTTTGACATCCTGAATATATTTGCAAAACAATATCAGAATTTTGCTGCGAGTTTTCACCCTCAGAATAAAGAATTGGGGCAACGCTGCCGACGCTAAATTTTCTTGATATTTGCTCTAATAAAAATCTGACCCAGAACGAATTTTTCGGTAAGACTTTTCAAGGGAGATGTGAGAGGACTCTGCATGTTTATGGATGCCTTGTCACTTAGCACAAAGTGAAGGCTTTTTTTTTGTTTGAAAATGAAACATCCCTGGGAAGGGAGAACTGGGCTGAGATAGGGATCACTGCACCGCTCCACCAGCCCGGGAGTGAATAAAAGCTCTGTCAAACCAACACAAACACGCTGGGAACCGACTGGGAGAGCGATAAGGCCAATAACAAGTGAAAGGAATACCGAGTCAAACAAAACACCGCTGTTAATTAGCTGCTCTAAGCACTTGTTAGCACAGAACTCCGTGGGAAGTGTCCGTCGGGCTCTGCTCCCAGGGAACAGGGACAGGACAAGGGGAAACGGCCTCAAGCTGTGCCAGGGGAGGCTCAGGTTGGCCCTGAGGAGGAATTTGTTGCTGGAAAGGGTGGTGAGGCCTTGGCAGGGGCTGCCCAGGGAGGTTTGGAGTCCCCACCCCTGAAGGTGTCTAAAAATCCTGTGGATGTGGCACTTGAGGAACATGGGTTAGTGGTGAAACTGGTGGGGGTGGGTTGATGGTTGGACTTGATGACCTTAAAGTTCTTTTCCAACCTCAACAGTTCTGGAATTCCCTGAACATGCAGGTTTCCCACACGGGACTTTCACCTCCCTTTAAACTCAGTGCAATGAAGTCCATGATTCTCCTATCCCTGAAAAAATATACAAGCACCTGAAAATAATGGAGCAAAATGCACTTTCAGATGTATATTTTATAAAATGAGCTCATAGCAGACCCCAAATTCCTGCCATCTCCCTCTCTGTTCATATTCCTGCCCTCTCCTCACCAGGAACTGCCCAGTTGGGTACAGCTCCTCTTCCCCTCCTTCCTGGCCACCAGCCTGTTCTGGGTTATTTTGGGAATACTTCCTAAACCTTATTAATTATAAAGGCCCCCAGAATTTTTTACCCACACCAACCTCCTCACACCTTTATAACACGCTCTGCATGGATGGCTCCAGCAACATCTCAAATTCCTGAAGCAACCACAGGCTGGGAAGGTCCCCCGTGCCAGACTGGTTTTGGGTGGCTTCCCAGAGGTTTCCTTGCATCCTCTTTCTCCCTGTGCCATGGAACAGGCAGAGGTTCCCCATTTCCCTCCCATCAGCCACTCAGCATTTTCAATATTCTTCCCATATTTCCTCCTGTTCATCTGGTTTCTAAGGTAACAATCCTGCTCTCCTAAATCTCTCTTCAAAGCAGAGGCTTTTTTTTTTTTTTTTTTTTCCTCATCCCTGATGGTTTTCAGGAAACCTTTCACCTGCCCTGTCCTTGCCATGGGCAGCACTCGGAGGTGCAATCCCTGACTTTGACCAAGGCTGTTCTCCATCCCATAATCCAGCATCCCTCTGTTTTCCTCTGGAGTTGTCTGTGGAGCAGATGCCTCCTTTGAGCTGTTTGGAAAACATCCTGCAACTTTTCCTGAGTTAAACTATTAATTAAGAATCCTGGCAGGTACTTGACTAGTTTGGGGTTTTTTTCCCCTGGAGCAGCAGTTTTACATTTGGTTTCATTACTTTTCATTCACTGATGTGTTTCTTTTTCCCTAAATTCCCTGCTCGGGTGAGACCCCCCTGCAGAGCTGCCCCAGCCCTGGGAACAGCAGCACAAGGATGTGGAGCTGCTGGAGAGAGTCCAGAGGAGACCCTGGAGCTGCTCCCAGGACTGGATCCCTCTGCTCTGGAGCCAGGCTGGGACAGCTGGGGGGGATCACCTGGAGAAGAGAAGGCTCCAGGGAGACCTGAGAGCTCCTTGCAGGGCCTAAAGGGGCTCCAGGAGAGCTGGAGAGGGACTGGGGACAAGGCCTGGAGGGACAGGACACAGGGAATGGCTTCCCAGTGCCAGAGGGCAGGGATAGATGGGATATTGGGAAGGAATTTCTGGCTGGGAGGGTGGGCAGGCCCTGCCCAGGTTGGCCAGAGAAGCTGTGGCTGCCTCTGGATCCCTGGAAATGCTCAAGGTTGGGTTGGAGCAACCTGGAATAGTGGAAACTGTCCCTGTCCATGGTAGAAAAGTAGAACTGGATGAGTTTTAAGGTCCCTTCCCACCCAAACCATTCCACGATTCCAACAGAGGACCCCAAAAGCAAAGCCTGACCCCACAGTCACCAAAAGGAAACCTCCTGCTCTGCCACAGCCCCGCAGCACACGAGTGGCACAGAGCCACCCCCCTGCACCAGGGTGGGTGCCCAGGCCCATCTGCAGAGATCCACTGCCCTCCCACATCCACGGGCCACCAGAACCACAGGACACCATCCCACAACGCTCAGGGACGGGACGAGGGCGCCCATCAGACAACGCCGAGCTGATGGGCTTGGCCGAGCACCTGGATCTGCAGGCGGCACATCCGTAACCGCAACACCGTGACAGTCACAACCACCACAACCACCACGACATCCCTGGTACCCACGGGTGGGCAGGGACATGGGGGGTGTTGCCTTCCCTGCAATGTGCCACCTCCCAGCGTTAGTTTTCCAGACGCATCTCCATCGTCATGGCAACGCCAGCGCGCCGCGGGCTCAGCACCTTCCTGAGAGCCGCCACCAGACCGGGGGCTGGGGAGGGGATGGAGGGGAACCCCCTCAGTGCCCGCACCAGGGCCCGCACCCCGGAGCTTCACCGGCCTCCACCAGCCTTCCTGCTTCCCACCTGGCATCCTGTGGTGGCTCAGCCCCATACAGGTGTAGGGGAACGTGCCAGCCACGGGACGCCTTTGCTCCAATCCTCTTGGCCAGCCCTGCTCCTTGCAGGAGCCTCACGGGGTCCCAGTGGCCTTCCTGCTTCCCACTTGGGATGCCACACAGGTGGTTGAGCCTACACAGGTGCCTGACCCCACACAGGTGGCTGACCCCACACAGGTGCCTGACCCCATACAGGCGTGAGGGCACGTGCCAGCCGCAAGACACCCTCGCTCTGGCTCTTGGCCAACCCACTCCTCGCAGGAGTGCCACACCACGCTCCGCCAGCCTTCCCTCTTCCCTCCTGGGATCCCGTGGTGCCCGATCCCACACAGGTGTGGGGGCACAACCCACCCAAGAAGCCACGGCGCGCCCCCTCCCCTCGTCCATACCTGGCCTTGCCGCGGCTGCTCCTCCGGAGCGTGGGCAGGTCGGCCTCCTTCTCCTCCTGCACGCGCTGCAGGGACGGGGAGCGGCTGTGGGCGCTGCGGGCGCTGCCCGAGCTGGCCAGGCTGCCGTCCCCCGCCGCCACCACCACCCCGGCCGCCGCCTCCTGCATCTGCACCAGCAGCTGGGGCGGGAGGCTGCGCAGCGACGGCACCGGCGAGTAGGACGCCCGGCTCTCGGCCTTCAGGTTGTTGTCGCTGGCCGAGCGCTGCAGCAGCCGCGGGGACGCCAGGCCACCGCCGCCCAGGATCCGCCGCCGCTTCGTGTAGCTCGGCGTCTCTCGGAAAGGCACTGGGGGAGACACGGACAGAGGGGTTAGGTGTGGGGTGGCGTTGGCCGCGCTCGGGTTGGGAGCTGGTGGATCACAGGACGGGGGGAAGCTCAGGTTGTCCTGAGTAAGGGAAGGGACCTGCAAGGATCGTCCAGTCCAACTGCTGGCCCTGCACAAGGCGCCCCAACAGTCCCACCCTGTCCCTGAGAGGGTCATCCAGATGCTCTTTGAGCTCTGGCAGCCTTGGGGCTGTGCCCGCTGCCCTGGGGAGCCTGTTCAGTGCCAACCACCCTCTGGGGAAGAACTTTTTCCTGAGGTCCAATCTGAGCCTGCCCTGGCACAGCTCCAGCCATTCCCTGGGATCCTGTTCCTGGTCCCCACAGACCAGAGCTCAGGGCCTGTCCCTCATTTGCCCCTCTTGGGGAAGATGTAACTGCAGTGAGGTCTCTCCTCAATCTCCCCTTCTCCAGGGAATGTATGTGGAGTTGAGCTGGGAGGGTAAGAATGGCCAGGACAGAGGAGAACTCCTGTCAGGAAAGGTAGATTTTCCTATATCCTGTTTAATGAGTCCATTTCCCTCCCAAAGTCTAACAGACTCAAGTTTGTGGCTCCATCCAGCGGGTAACCTGGAGTTGGGCATGTCCAGCCTGTTCCTGGTGCCGCCACAGTGGCCAAAGCACGGGGCAGGCACATCACAGGGAGTCTCCCATTCTCCTGCTCCAAGCAGGACCAGGAACGGTGCAATCCCACTAACAGGGACCTCTCCCACCCCTTCTGCATCCAAAACATCCCTTCCAAGGCCACCTCTCCCACAGCACCTTCCACAGGTGATTCCCGAACACGCTCCCGTGGGCTGCAGAGGATGGACCTGCCCGAGGCCTCCAACCTGTGCCACCCTTGACCCAACACCCTGCAGGCCCTTCCCAGCTGTGTGGGGAATATTTTTCCGAGGGATGCTTTCGGTTCACAGCACAAGAATTTCAGGCGCCTGTAGCTCTTCCTGTTGCCGCAGCAACGCGATGCGTTGGTTCCCTCGCGACTTCCAGCCGCGTGCAGGGGGAATTTCTGTCTGCGCTCCCCGATCTCCTGCCACCACCACCTACCTGCCCCCAGCACCCACACCCGGCAGGAATAACAGCCCAAAACTCCGGAATCGCGGAGCCACGAGGGCTGGAAAAGCCCTTGAAGGCCATCAAGTCCAATCATCACCCAGCGCTGCAAAGGTCGCTGATAACTCAAGTACCCCAGTGCCACATCCACACGTGGTCCCGGGACCAAGCTGAGGTCATGTGCCACCCAGGCACGTGGCAGATCTCCAGGGGACATTCAGCTTTGTACTAAAATCGCTTCCAGAAAACCAGTTCGGAGAAATTGGTGAGGAGTAAATATCAAAAGGATGCCACGGTGTCACCATGCCGGAAGATTTAAAAACTGTTAGCAATTGGAAGCAGCCACTGGAAAGGCAAGGAAGTTTCTTGAGGTGGTTTGGAGTCTCCAGACCTGGAGGTGTCCCAGGCAGGCCTGGCTGTGGCACTCAGTGCTCTGGGCTGGGGGACAAGGTGGGGATGGGGCACAGGGTGGATCCATGGGTTGGGAGGGCTTTTCCAACCTCAGAGATCCTGGGATTCTGGCCAGGTTGGCCAGAGAAGCTGTGGCTGCCCCTGGATCCCTGGAAGTGTCCCAGGTCAGGTTGGAGCAACCTGGGCTGGTGGAAGGTGTCCCTGCCCATGGTATGGGGTGGCACTGGATGGGCTTTAAGGTCCCTTCCAACCCAACACATTCCATGATTCTGTGATCCAAGCTGGCCCCACAGAGGTTGGAAAGTGCTTAGGAAAAAAGTCCTAACTGTATGTTGAACCACTCATATAAAGTTTCCTGTGGAATTATCCTGTTGGATAAGCTGGGAAGAGAAAAGGAAATTAGGAAAAAAAGAGGAAAAAAAAGGAAAGAAAAATGAAAAAAGAAAAGAAGGACCCCACCATTCAGAAGGTCCTGTAGATCTGTTCTGCTCCTGTTTGTCTCAGATTAACTGAGTAGGAATGAACCTGCCCTGGGCCCTGCCCTCCCCACTGGGACCAGCACAACCTCCCCACTGGGAGATGTGAATGGGTTGGGGCCAGGGGGGATGGTGAGATATTCCCAGCAAGCCCCAGCCACCAGGCAATGAGGCACAAACAGGTTGCTCAAGGACTCCCTGGGAAAAAAAGAAGGTACTTTATAATTCTTGACACAGGTCAGGGCAAGTGCTTTAGCTCAGCCTGTCAAATAAATCACATCCAGCCACCGCCTCCCGCGCTCACAGCGCTCCCTCCCAGCACCAAAGTGACAGAACCCAGCTGAGAAACAAAGGAAAACTCAACCTCTGCCTGGGATTCACACCCAGAGGAAGCACAGAGGGGCTGGAGGGGCAGCCCAGGGCCACTCTCTGGCCACTAATCCATTTTTCACGACATCAAGGGCAGGAGTCCCCGAAGCACAGCATTTACAGGAGTGAACGTGAAGGTATCCAGGTCACAGAACAGGTTGCAAAGCCAAAGTTTCCCAAGTATTTAATTCCAGAGGCATATTAAGAGGACAGAAGTGTCACTGCAAAGGCAGTTCTTTCAAAGACAGTAGGTACCTGCACTGTCTGTGTCATTTAATTGGCCCCCAGAGCCCCGAACCCGCAGGGGGGGGGTGGGATTGATCCCGCCTGGCTCACCTGCCAAAGGGGGGTTCACAGGCAAGGGGCTCCCAAAAACGAGGGACAAAGCCCTCTGACAGCAGCACAGACCTTCAGCTGATACATGTGTGGATTGCAGAGGTGCCCAGGCTCTCAGGTGTCCCTTCCCAAGGATCCAGGCGTCCCCTGGATCAGCAAAGCCCCGGGGAGCCCCAGAGCAGGGGTTGGGGTGATGGACATTTCACCTGCCCCGACCTGAGCGCTCAGCTTTGCCACGGCACTGCCTCGCACCCATTGCAGGGCCACCGTGCCACTGGGGAGGCAGCTGGACCAAGACCAGGTGCTTCCACAAAGAGGCTGGAGAGCCAGAAATGACAGGACATGGCCAGGAAAGGCCCCTGAGGAGAACACAGCCAGGCAGCTTGACAGGGGGAGAGCAGCCGGAGGAGCAGAGCTCCTGCTCAGCCGGGCGATGGAGGAGTCGCTCCCCAGACACCCCCCAGCTTTTCCAAAGCCCTCAGCAAAGCACAGACTTCCACCCTGCCAGGCTGGAAGCTCTGCCATGCAGACACAGCACAAAGCTGGGTCTTTCTGGGCAGAAATGAGATGTAATCAGAGAGGTACAGCCACGGTCTTGGCTGTGACATGCAACGAGATGGAGACAGCAAGGGAGGTGAAATCTGCTGGATGTGGAAGAGAAATGTGGAAGAGAAGGTTGTCTCTGGCACAGTCAGATGGCAGAGGGACAGGAGAGACGCCCACAATGGATGTGGGGTTTTTTTGGAGAGGCAAGGAAGGGATCTGTGGTGGGGCTTCCCGTGCATCCCCCTCCTGAGGAAAATCTTGGGGAAACATCTGCTGCTCTGATGGAGACAATGGGGGGAGCCCCAAACTAACCACAACTCTTTGCTTTGAGCAGCATCACAGAATCCCAGAATCCCTGAGGCTGGAAAAGCCCTCCCAGCCCATGAATCCCCCCTGTGCCCCATCCCCACCTTGTCCCCCAGCCCAGAGCACTGAGTGCCATGGCCAGGCCTTCCTGGGACACCTCCAGGGCTGGGCACTCCAAACCTCCCTGGGCAGCCCCTGCCAAGGCCTCACCACCCTTTCCAGCAACAAATTCCTCCTCAGGGCCAACCTGAGCCTCCCCTGGCACAGCTTGAGGCCGTTTCCCCTTGTCCTGTCCCTGTTCCCTGGGAGCAGAGCCCGACCCCCCCCGGCTCCCCCCTCCTGGCAGGGACTTGCAGAGCCAGAAGGTCCCCCCTGAGCCTCCTTTTCTCCAGGATGAGCCCCCCCAGCTCCCTCAGCTGCTCCTATGTCTGACTGGGATGACCAGTGCCTGGCTCTGGGACAGCCAGAGCTCAGCCCAAGCACAGGGACAGTGAAGATGCTCCACAGCTCTGAGTCCTCTCCAGCACAGCAGAGTGGCTTCATTCAGCCAAAAATTAGGTCACCCTCAGCTGTGCAGAGAGTTGAGTCTTCTGCTCAGCCAAACCTCAGCATGGAGATTCCAGTTCCACACTGACAGCTCGCTCCTGACCCCAGCCCATACTGGGAAGAGCTGATCTGCTGTGGTTTGGCAGGTGAACTCCTGGCCAGGAGGCTCATGGGTGCTCAGACGTACCAGGATGTCCCAAAATGCTGGATGAGACCCGAGATACACTTAGACCAGTCCCACCACTCCTCAACCTGCCTGAAACCAGTAACAATAATAACGATAATAATAATAATGATGATAAACCACTGAGCCATAAACAGGACATCCTCAAGCCTCTGCCAGCTCTCCAGTTCTGAGGAAGATTTCCTCACCCCATCGCCCTGAATCCACCGTCCCCAGTGGGGAAGGGAGAGCAATAAAGTAAAAAAAAAACCAAACCAACAACAAAAAAACCCACAAAAAACCAACACTTCGCCCAGTTCATACAATCAGCTTTGAAGATTCCTTTCTACACCTTCTCAAGAGTTTAATCAAAGTCTGTTTACTGGGTGTCTGGCAGCAAAATGAAACCCTCCAGTTTCCATGACAGCGCCGCTCGCAGCGGCTCCGCCGTGCCCGAGCCAGCCCCGCTTCCCCCGGTGTTCCACCGGTGGATTCCTGCTCTCCAGAAGGGAAACACGGCGTTCCCGGTGCCCAGCGCCGCTCCCTGCCCAGCCACCAGGAGAGTGGGATGCAAACACTGCTCCCCCAGGAGTTGCGAGCCCCGAGACGCTCCGGAGGCACCCGGAGCAGGCTCCGAACCCGGGCGTAATCAGCGCTCCCAGCTTGTTTGGATTTGCTGCTCCCGTGTTAAATATTCATGGGGAAAAGAGCAAAGCGCCAGGAGTGCAAATGTCTGCACGCAGTTCCAAGCTGAGAGGCCGCATTTACATCTTAATGGCGGAAAATTGCAAAGCAAAGCGGGGAAGGCACAAAAGCCTCTCCCCGAGACGGAGAAGGGGCAGGGCACGTCCCGAACCGGGGAAGGCACGTGGAGTATCCCGAGCTGGAGAGGGCACACGGCATTTCCAAACTGGAGAAGACACACAGCGTCTCCAGAAGTGGAGGGGGAACACAGCACATTCCAAACTGGAGAAGGCACATGGCAATCCCCAAAACTGGAGAATGCACTCGGCGTCTCCCAGACTGGAAAAGGCACCAGCAGCTCCCAAACTGGACACGTGGCATCTCCCCACACATGGCAGGTCACGCTCAGGTTTCTCTCCCATCCAAGAGGGAGTAGCCACTCCAAGGACACCTCCTAGGTATTTTTTTTCCCCAGGAATGAAAACAGAAGGAAAAGGGCAGGGTGAGGAGGCAGCCCAGACCCTGCACTGCTGCTCCTCCTCATTCCTTCCCCTGGCCCTGCTCAGAGACAGATCTTCCCAGCTGGAAGCAGATTTTACTCTGCACTTGTAAAACTGAAATTTAACCTGCTGGAAACACGTTAATTAAACTTGCTGGTTCTCCTCTCCGAGCAATTCCCAAACGTGGTGCTGAGAGATGAGGTTTTCAGCTTTTCCCTCCAGATAAAATCCATCAGCCTAATGCAGCTCAACCCTGGAAACTTTTCCTTGCAAGAGTCTGGTGCATTTTTCATTCCTCTGTTTCACCTTGCTACACTCAGCACATCGAGGGTCCTGCCTGGACTCTCAGGATAAATCCCTGGAGGAAATCCTGGCACTGCCCTGACCTGTGACCGACCCCACACACAATCCCATTAACAATAACGACACAGAAAACCAGAGAAAGCCAAGAAGTGTTTCTGCTCTGTCTCAGAAGAGAATTCCCATCCACATCTCTGTACTGGCAAAAAAAAAGGCATCCAGGACCAAAATGGAACTTCCCTCCCAATTCCAGCAGCAACTGCTCCGCTCAGTTTTGCACATTCACATCAGAACAGCCAAAGCTTCTGCAGCAAAGTTCAAAGGAATTTTCAGCACAGCTCAGCGAGTGCCTGGCCTGTATTTAGAACAGTCCTTCAGAAGCTCCAGGGGTGGGGAGGCAGCTTTGGAAAGGGCAGTGGGAGGATCCCAATAACTGCACTCAGTCCCAGAGCGTTTTAGAGAGTCACAGAATCCCAGGAGGGTTTGGGTGGAAAGGGACCTTAAAAAGCCCACCCAGTGCCACTCCTGCCACGGGCAGGGACACCTCCCACTAGCCCAGGTTGCTCCAGCCTGGCCTTGGACACTCCCAGGGGCACCCACAGCTTCTCTGGGCACCCCGTGCCAGGGTTATTCCAAACGAAGCAGGAAGAGGCCCTTGTGCCACCACAACGACAGAGCAGAGGCAGCTTCTGATCAGCTGAAACAAAGACCTGAAAGCTTGCAGGCTGAGAAAACTTACCAAAAAGATGGATCTTGAAAATTACGGAGCAGCTGGCACGGGGTCCAACTGATGTGACACCACTGAGCAATCACCACCACTGCAGGTGTGCCAGTGGAAGCAGGTGATGTGGTGCACACCTGACTTTACTCACTGGAATGACACACTGGGCTGATAAATGTTGACGTGGATTTGAGACTTGAGCACCAACGGGACAAGCAAACGGACACAGAGGCATCTCAGAGGGGTCCTGAGGTCCAGACACCATCCCATTTCCACTGTCCCCACTGACTGGCTCCTGCTGCTCCCATTCCCTTTTCCCACTGGCAGTTGCAGGGGTGGGAACTGGACACCCCACTTGGGGTCACCTTGGAGCGAGCTCTCCTTGTGCAGCTCCTGCAAAACCACCCCAAGGCTCTTAGAAAAGGTGGCCTGGGTACTCTCCCAGGGCATCTCTGAGCTGAGAACATCTCCAAACCCTCCTGGAGCGGTGAGAGGTGAGGCTCTGCTCCAGACCCTGGGGTGGGACTGACCAACAAGCACCAAGGTGTGCCACAAGGATGTGTGATGGCACTGACAATCCCTCCTAATCCAGCCTCTTGAGTCCTCTTAAATCCAGTCCTCTGAAGTCCAACCAAGAAGCCAGAGTGCAGCAGTTGCCATTCACGGCATCCTCTGTCTGCAGATCCACGAGGCACGAGGATAAGGAAGAGAACAGAAATGATGGAACAGCCCAAGTGCACTGTCTCCACAAGCACTGTAAGAGCCTGGATTTGCAGCCTTCCACTCTGACCTTCTTCAAACTAGCACTGATGAAACGAGCAGTGCTCAGTCTGCACTTCCACAGATGGAAACCCGTGGATTGGGAGCCCAGTGGAGCCACACGAGGAGCCCTCCAGCCCAGTGGGCTTTAAAGAGCCCTCATGGACCATCCAACATCCACACTGGTGTCTGACTCCCAGCCAAGCTGCCCTCGGCCAGTCCTGACAGCAGATGGAGCCCCTTGGGGGATTTCCTGGCACAGTTTCTGGGTTATGTTCCCCCTGTAGGAAGTTCAGTTCTCACCCTCTAGGCTTGCTCTGCATTCTGAGGCGAGGAACAGGGAGAGGGGACAGCTCCGGCTCAGCCGAGCACTCCAGGTCCAGATGGAAACAGGGACGGAGTCTCCTGCAGTCCTGCCAACCACCCTCCCTCCCCCAGTGCCGCCCAGCGGGGCCTCTGTGGCTCTGTCCGATGGTGGGGACACCAAATCTCATCTCAAGCAACCCCAGCCCCACATGGGCCCACTCAAGAGGAAGATTTCTCCGAGAGCATCACCTCCAATTTTTCCAAATCCTTCCAGATCCTGAACCGTTCTGATGGAATGATCAGAGGGAAGGGCACACTAAGGAAAGCCCCTCCTCACCCTCAGGGACGTGAGCAGCTCTCCTCCAAATGCCCCTCCTCACCCTCAGGGAGGTGAGCAGCTCTCCTCCAAATGCCCCTCCTCATCCTCAGGGACTCCTCTCCCCCTCTCCGACACACCCTCCCCAGCTCTTAATGAACTTCCCAACCCAGTTTCTCCTCCCTGGGAAGCTCTCTTCCCTGGGAAGCTCAGTGCCAGTCCCCCTGACCGCGGGCAGGTGCCATCTGGACCCGCTGCTTGGCGTGTGATTAGTTTGCAACTGTTCCCTGACCTATTTTATATAAACAGCCGTGGCTGAAACACGAACGTTTCATTGCACCTGACATGTTTTTCCTGCCCTTTTTCCTCACACTTTTTCAATGGAAATAACTGAGCCAGTCAATCACGGGTTCAGAGTCCAACAGAGGAGAATTTAGGCTGGCAGGGACCTTTGGAGGTCACCAAATCCAGAACCTCTCTCACGGCAAAGACAGTCACTTTTCTCTCGAATTAATTAACTTTCTCATCATCGCTGTTCACATCAGGAATTTTCAGGCTTTTCCCCATGTCCTTCCTGACTCTCAAACCTTCCCCCAAATTCTCAGCAGCTGTTTCTGACTACCAGCAATAGCTGAGAAAAGGAGGGACCGAGGATGTTTCAGGCCCAGGTTTCTGGATTCACAGCCACTTCCAAGGACAGAGCTCACTGCTTGCTGCCTGCTGCAAATTCCACAAGAACTGATTCCAGTTGTCTTTCGGTGATTTCAGGATTTTCACAGAACCCCAGAATGGTTTGGGCTGAAAGGGACCTTAAAGCCCTTTCAGTTCCAACTCTGACACCTCCCACCAGCCCAGGTTGCTCCAAGCCCTGTCCAACCTGGCCTTGGACACTTCCAGGGATCCAGGGGCAGCCACGGCTTCTCTGGGCAACCTGAGCCAGGGCCTCACAGCCAAGATTCTCTTCCTGAAGTCTTTTTTCCCCTGCTGGCCTGATGTCTCTGTACCTTCTGTGGAGGGACACCTGCTGAGAATTAACTCTTCCCTCCACTGACAGCTCTGGATCAATAAACTTCTCAGGATAATTCAAGTAAAACTAACAAGTGTCGATTTTATCGCTGATCTAAACCTCAGTTTCACGTGGCATTTATCACACGGTGACGTCCCTGCCGGAGAAGGACAGAAGAGGTGACACAAGGGAAAAGGCTGGAATCCCAAAATATTCCCTCCTAAAGCAAATACAACCAGAAGAGCTGCTCCTGTTCCATACAGGACCTTCAGAGTGGGGCAGCTCTGTGACCACTGTCCCTGCAAGGCAGAGAATGTCCCCTCCTTGCAGCAATCCCAATCAATGCCCTTGGCAGGGAAGGATCTCTGGGCTGGAACAGCCCCCAGGATGCAAAGAGAGAGGAAAAGGTGAGGGTTTTAACAGCAGAGCTTTGCAGAGCTGCTCCTGACTAAGGGTCTGGTTCATTCCTTATCCTGGCAGCCTGAGCCATTCCTGGATAAGCAGTGTCCCAGCCTCCCTGGGTGGCCCTGGGAGGAAAGCAGAGTTCTGCCACTCCCCAAACCCAAACTGGCACCAGGAAAACCCACCAACCCACACCCCCACAACACAGCCCTGGGCTCCCCAGCGAGGTACAGAGGGAGAAAAAAGGGGCAAGAAGAAAAATCCAACTCACCAACATCGGACTCTTTGTGGGTTTTGATGATCTCGGCCAGCTCGAAATTCCCTGCAATGATGGCCACCTGCAAAGAGACGGAGGGAGGAGGGTTGAGCGGCCCTGATGCTGCCATATGGGCTGACAACAGCTGCTTCCCGTGGGGAAGGAGCCAACAATCGTTCTGCCTCGGCTCCCCCAGTCAGTGACCCCAAGGTGGGACCTCCCAGCCCTGCGGGGCGAGCGTATGTCGAGGGTTTGTGCGGCGAGAGGGCGGCCAATGGCTCGGAGAGGGACGGTCCCCTCCTCGAGGTCTGCTGATGACACACCAGCCACCAGCCAGGAATTCATCCTGCAGCTCCTGTTGGATGTTCCCCAGCCTGAAGCTGTCCAGTGATCCTGGTTAGAATCACACAACTGTTAAGGCTGGGAAGGACCTTTAAGATTGTCAAGTCCAACCATCAATGCGGCACCACCACCGTGTTCAGCACCTACCCATGTCCCCAGGTGCCACAGACACAGGGTTTCTGAACACTTCCAAGGCTGGGGAGTCCACCACTGCCCTGGGCAGCCTGTTCCTGATGAAAGGGGACTTACCTGCTGCCAAGAACCCTGCACAGATCCACAGGACCGACTCACGTGCTTGCTCCCGGACCAGGAGCCACTTACACTTGGGCATTGGTAGCAGGAGCTCCCCCCAGTAAAACCACAGCGTTCTAGACTGACATCAAACATTGCTTTTCCCACCACTCCACAGGAAGAAAATCCCAAAGGGACAAGGTTCTTGGAGAACCCAAAAGAATGAGGAAAGAGGGGAAGCTGAACGTGGGTCTGCCAGCAAAACAGACAGAGCTGGGTCTGTCCTGCTCTGGGAAGTGATTCCACAGGTGTTCCTGTCCTGAGGAGCTGCAGGACACCAAGCAGCCTTCCCAGAAAGGGTGTTCAGGCCTTGGCAGGGGCTGCCCAGGGAGGCCTGGAGGTGTCCCAGGCAGGCCTGGCCGTGGCACTCAGTGCTCTGGGCTGGGGGACAGGGTGGGGATGGGGCACAGGGTGGATCCATGGGCTGGGAGGGCTTTTCCAACCTCAGGGATCCTGGGATTCTCTGAAGGCAGGTTAATGTGCAATTAAGAGGAGAGACTAAAGTACCACCTCCTGAAGGAACAGTTCAGCCAACAGGCAGAGACATCACTGACTTCTCACATACTCGGGGAAAGAACCCCCAAACCAGCACCACATCCCAGCTGGCAGAACAACCCAATGTTTGGGAGAGCAAGGTGCAGAAACATCCTTGTCACATGTGAAAGAACCCCAGTGAGATGGGTCAGAGCACACAAAATCCACCCCAAATCCTCAGGGAAACAAACCAGGAGATGAACGAGGAGAACTGGACTGAGCTGGTCCAATCGTGCCTTTGATACCCCCACAAACCGCGGCCACCTCGGCCCTTCCCACCCCTCCCAGCACACCCAGTCACCCCTCAGGATGGTGTCCTCTCTGAGCAGCACCCATAGATTATTTAAAACAAAAAGAAACCAGATCAGGTTGATTCTGGGTGAGAACAAAGTGTGAGAACACGCCTGGGCGCAGCTGCCCACGCCGGGACCATCACGCACCCTTGGTGTGCAAGAGCGGGCCAGGAGCAGCACCCAAACCCTCCCAGACACTAAATCTGGGGCACTCCTGGCAGCTCCAGCTGTTGGACGCTTCTCTGACCTCCTACAAGAAGAGCTTGCAGCAACAGGAGGCTCATTTGCATCCCAGCCCCAGCTTGTGACGGGGGGATGTATTTACGCGGTGACTCAGAGCACACGCACACCTCTGGTACCAGCCTTCCCCAGCACAAACAGTCCTGCTACCTCAGCCCAACAATGTTGAGGGGACTTTTTGTTTGTATTCTCAGGCCCAGAATTCGTGCTCCACCTCCTCAGCCAGAGCTGGAAGTGATCAGTGAGGGCTGTAAGAAAGGAAACCTTCCTTCTGCCTTCGGGAAACTAGGCCAGAGCCAGAGAATATTGAGTAATGCTCTCTGTTTTCCCCCCAAGCTTGCTCCAAATTGTGATTTTTCTGTCTCTCCTTATATATACACATATATATTTATAAGTTCTGCTCTCCCAAAGGTCACAGGCAAAGACAGTTTTTTTGTATAGAAGGGCAAATGACCTGAATTTGGGGAAACGGGGAAGCAAAAATAACCAAACTGACAAAAGACTGGAAAGGAGCCTCTGAACTTCAAAGTTCCTCAGATGAACAATTAACATACGGTTCAAAACCATCCAAAGGTGGTTTCCTCCAAAAAAATCCAAATCTAAAGTACAAATTACAAGTCTCATTAGATGTCTGTCTTGGGAATGATCCCTGAAATGGATGGGGAATCACAGAATCAGGGAATCCCTGAGGCTGGAAAAGCCCCCCCAGCCCATGGATCCCCCCTGTGCCCCATCCCCACCCTGTCCCCCAGCCCAGAGCACTGAGTGCCACGGCCAGGCCTGCCTGGGACACCTCCAGGGGTGGGGACCGTGGGCAGGGACACCTCCCACTATCCCAGGTTGCTCCAAAGCCCATCCAACCTGGCTTTGGGCTCTTCCAGGGATGGAGCAGCCCCAGCCGTATCCTGGCTCTGGCACAGGGTTATTTTCTGAAGTGCTGTAACACCTTGAGTCATTCCACAGCGTGAGATCAAAGTGACAACGCTTTTTAATCCAGCAGCAACCTGCCTATTTTTATCTCTTTAGGCAAACTCAGTAATCTCTAAAAGAAAGAAAAGAGGAGATGCCACCAAATATAAATCAGAGATCACAGGCTGGTTAAACAACTTTAAACCACTTGAGTGGGCTTTACCCTGGGCCTGCTTTGAGGATAATATTTAATTTTTCTTGTTCTGAGCTGTCACTGTGTATTCATACTGGAGGAGCTGCTCTCTCCTTTCACCCAGGTTTTGATGTATGATGGAGAGCAAAGATGGATGGACTTCCCTACAGGAAGACATCTGCAGCTCTGAAAGGGATCTCAAAGCTGGGACGAGGAAGAAGACAAGCTTAGGTTACGTGGAGAACTCATCCAGCAAGAGCAGAACAGAGGTGGCACCTCTGGAAGCAGACAGCCCTGCAGCCCCTCTGTGCCTGCTGTCAGCCCCTGTCCCCCACACAGAGGACTTGGGACAGGGTGGGACAGGACACGACAGGAGCTCCAGCTCCCAGTCCTGCAGCCTCTCTGAGGGAGGGAGAATCACAGCACAAAGGGATATGAAATCTATCCTGATGATCCTGATGCCACAGCCAGGATCTCAGTGGTCCTGTGGAGGGCTCAGGTAGGAATATTTCTAAGGATAAGAGTGCTGGCAAGCCTGGAATGCAGTATTTTAACACAGGAAATGTGAAGAACAGCTGAAGATTACAAAAATGGAATCACTTTCCTGGTGCAACAAGAATATGACAGCCTGGTCACCTTGGAATGGTCACACAGAGCAGGAGAGCGAGGAACTGGGAGACAGAAGAGCAGCAAAACCTGTCAATTGTCCATGAGTCACAGACTCCAAGCCACAGGCAACTGAGAAAGGGAAACTTCCAGTTGCCACAAAAATCTTCATGAAGTGAGAAAAAAGGAAGAGAGGGAGGCAAAGAGCCCAAGTTCCATGGCAGGAGTCTGTGGTTTTTGATGATACTTCAAAAGGGAGTTACCTGGATGAAGGTCAGAAGAACACTGAGTGGTTCTGACAATGCTGGGATGGTGGTGGATTTTCAGACCTGGAAAAGCACAACCCCCCTCCCCAGAGCCTCTGAATCAAACCAACCCCCCTGTTTTCGCTCCATATGAAAGCCCACCCACACCGTGCTCCCAGGGGGCTTCTCAGTTGCAGATGAAACACCTGGAGAAGTCCAGAACTTCCCCCTTATCATCCCACCTGTGCCAAAGGAACCAGGAGCAGTGATGGCCACGGGGCACAAGGGCCCTGGGGGAGGCAGGAGAGATGCATCATCTCTAGGAGATGATGGGATGGGAAGGGAGGGATCATCAGAGGTGCTGCTGGGCAGGAACAGGTCACTCCTCCTTGGAAGAGGAAGGTAAAAAGGCTTTTGAGGGAGGTGCAGGCAGCCAAATTAGTTATCATGACACAGTGAAGCTTCTCAGCTCTGCTCAGACAGAAGGACCTGCCAGCATGCCAGACTATTGTCAGCTCTTGGTATGACAGAATCAGGGAATGGTTCGGGTGGGAAGGGACCTTAGAGCTCATCTCCTTCCACCCCCTGCCATGGGCAGGGACACCTTCCACCAGACCAAGTTGCTCCAGTCCCATCCAACCTGGCCTTGACTTTTGACTTTCCCCACTGCTGATGATTCTCCACCTCTCCACTATCCCAGACAACAGAATGATTCTCTTGAACCATCTCCCGTTATTTAATCAGGTGGCACTGCTGAACAGCTGCCCTTTTCTCAAAGTTCTCTGCCTTCCCCTTGCCCAGCCCGGCTTCAGGCACGTTCTATATTTGTTCCAGACTTCCAGAAGTCTGGCAGTTCCCCCCGGGTCAGCCCTCCTGCTCACATATGGCAGCTCCATCTGGGCTGCCATACGGGCAGGAGCTCCGAGCCGTTGGCAGCAGTTGGTGCTGCCACTGCACAGACACAGCCAGGCTGGTGCTCCTGGGGGTGTCACTGGGGTCAGTCCCTGCATGGCAGCACCACAGACCCAGCACTGCCTGCAGGCACCAGGCACAGCCCCTGTGAACGAGCTGCAAAGCTGACCAGGGGCAAACCCGACGTCCCTGGTGCCTGCCAGACACGCCACGTGCACAGGGTAGGTCCAACACCTCCTGGGGACACCCAACCTCCAACCCGTGGTCTGCACCCTGCAGGCAGCACAGGGCCCCACTCCTGTTCCATTTGCTGTGTGGTCACTCAGTTCAGGGAAGCTGAGGGGGCTGGAAGAGCCCTCTCTGATCTCACACCCCCGCTGCTCTCTGAGCAGTGCAGGGCAGCATCTGAGCATCTCTCCTGGAGGGTTTGCTCCTTCCTAGACATTTTTATCCATTGTATTAAGTGGTTTTTGACTGTAAAAGGGAATTTCCAGTTTCTGAGGTGCCTTAAGAGCTG